TTAGGTCCACTATATTACATGTTCGATATCGTACACTTGTAATATAAAAATACGCAACAAATATGTTACAACCACTTCATATTGATAAAAGGTTTAGAGAATAATATGAAATGAAAATCAAGATATATTTTTTTTACCATAAAACATAAATGCATGAATTCAGGCAAAAAGTCCTTTTAGTTAAAACGACGTGTGACTTGGAGGACATATATAAGACAATTCTTGTCAAGCCAAAAAGTTCAGACTTTAGTCTTTGGATGTCATCCTGGAACCAATGATTTAGAAGGAACCAACTACGTATTAGTAGGGCATACAACAATGGGTCACTTCATTCCACGCAATCGTTCACATTAAAAGCAAAATTTAGATTTTTTATATATATATTGACTTTTTTCCACCACAAATAGATTTGTCGTACTTGTTAAGCATTTGGCTAAAAATAAACAAAATTTTAATAAATTTTGATAAAAGTTGATGGAATATATAGTTGAAAAGTTATGAATTCTAATATGTGATTAAAATTAATTGTTGACCAATAATTTTTTTATGCCGGCTTAACGTGAAATATGTTTGTCTACAAATACAGATTAGCCTAATCACTCTTAACATGCATATTGCAAAGAAAAAAACATGGTTACTCGTTATGATTTGCTCCATATGTTCTTCTTGCTTTCACTGGCAGTGGCACCACCGTCAAACGCTACCAACTCTGCCAAACCTGGCTGCCAAAGCAGTTGTGGTAACGTAGAAATTCCTTACCCGTTCGGTATCGGGCCGAATTGTTCTATGAACTCGTACTATAACATCCACTGCAATACTTCTTTCAACCCTCCAAAACCTTACCTCTCCTTTGTTAATGTGAGTCTCGAAGAAGTCCTTAACATAGAGGTTGTTAACATCTCAAAATCCCAAATCTATGTTAAGAACTCGGAGCTGCAGCTGGCAAGGACATGCTATGATATGGAGAATTATACTATAGACATCAAATTTCTTACTACTCCTTATACCTTGTCAGATACAAATCAGTTAATAACAGTTGGTTGTGATGACTTGGCTATGGTACAACAATTTTATCACCTAACCAATACCTACGGCGGTATTGGTTGTCTGTCGTTCTGTCCATACATTAGAGATTACGTCGGAACATGTCCCGGAGTGGGCTGTTGCCAAACCTCCATATCCAGAACAGACTTTCTCCAAGTTCAACTGGTCGACATGCATACTAATTTCGGCAAAAAGAGTAAAAATTTTCGGTGTAGTTTTGCCTTCGTCGGAATGATAGGCGTTCTTGGTAATTTCACATTTAAATTATCTGATCTCAATGATTCAACAGCATTCCTAAAAAATAATAAAGAAATTATAGATATGCCATTGGTGTTGGAATGGCGAATTGGTCCTTTTTCGAATTGCACCGAAACTTCATGTGGAAAGAATACCTTTTGCACTAACTGGGATGCCCGTAATGGAGGGCATTACTGCAGGTGCAATGAAGGATACGAGGGCAATCCTTACCTAGGGTGCCAAGGTTAGTTTTAAAGTTACTGTTACAAATATTAAAAGACATGCATTCAGCTATCCAAATTCGATACAAGAAATCTAACAGTTATTTGCTTTGATGTTTGATGGGTGGATGGTAGATATCGATGAATGCAACAATAATCCGTGCGCCTCCGATGGAATTTGCAACAATACTTTGGGTTCTTATAGTTGTTTTTGCCGCGATGGTTACTATGGTAATGGGGAAAAAAATGGATTTGGTTGTAGACAAGAGTCTGTGTCTAATAGCAAAGTGACAATAGGTAACTTAAAATTAATTTTTGCATATTAAATAATTACAATTTATTTTTCTTAATATTTCCTCCTTTTAAATTACAAGTTATTATTATTATTATTTTTTTTGTAAAAAATGCTAGTTGACACATCATAAAAGCTAATTTCTTAAAATCACAATAATACCATGTCCAAGGCATAATATGCAAAATGCTCAACTTTCCAGCAATAGATAGAATCCATTACTAACTTGACTATCATGCACTAGTAATTAAATTTGACAACCCAATATATCAATCATAATATGATGAATAGCAATTCACATTCAGAAAATCTATACTCCAAATTTAAGTATTAGGACATGTTTGACAACACTTTTAAAAAGCGAAAAACTACTTCTGACACTAAGTAGCTCTCCTAGGACATGTCTGAATAATTTATGGAAGTACTTTGTCGGTTTAGAATAGCATTAGAGGAAGAGTTAATTTCCTGATGAAGCTCTTCTATACAAAGTAGAGGAACTCTCAAACTTGTCGTTGGAATTCTTAATATAACTATCTTGTTCTCTCAATATCAAATAAATAAACAAACAAAAAGGAAAAATTTTCCCACTGGGGAAAACTATACGTGATTGAAGTCCAAATTAGATGTGATTTCCTTGTCTTGAATTAATTTGCATATGTTGACACTTTCAGGAGTAGGCTTGGGCTCTGGAATTGGATTACTACTTCTATTATCAACTTGGTTTTGGTTGTACAAGTTTCACAAGAAGAGAAAAAATAAGAGGCGCAAACAAAAATTTTTCAAACGTAATGGTGGACTCTTGCTACAACAACAAATCTCAAGTGATGAAGGTTTTCTAGAAGAAACACGACTTTTCACTTCTAAAGAACTAGAGATAGCAACTGCTCACTTCAATGAAAGTCNAAAGAACTAGAAACAGCAACTGATCACATCAATGAAAGTCGAATACTTGGCAAAGGAGGTCAAGAGACGGTGTATAAAGGAATGTTATACAATGAAAAAATCGTAGCAATAAAGAAATCTATCTTAATAGATGAAAACCAAGTGGGGCAATTCATCAACGAGGTTGTCATGCTTTCACAAATCATTCACAGGAATATTGTTAAGTTATTAGGATGCTGCCTAGAAACAGAAGTTCCTTTACTAGTTTACGAATTCATTTCCAATGGAATTCTCTTCGATCATATCCATGATGAGAGCGATGAATTCCCATTATCATGGAACCGGCGTTTGAAATTTGCTGTAGAAGTTGCAGAAGCAGTTGCATATCTTCACTCTGCAACTTCTATTCCCATCTATCACAGAGATATTAAGTCATCCAACATACTTCTTGATGAAAAATATGTAGCAAAAGTCGCCGACTTTGGAACTTCAACATCAATCTCGGTGGATCAAACTCATCGAACTACCTTAGTAAAAGGGACATTCGGGTACTTAGATCCAGAGTACTTTCAGACAAGTCAGTTTACAGAAAAGAGTGA